CTCCATTCGCGGGGCTCAGGGATACCGAGACCGTGGCGCCTGAATTGGCATCAATGGTGGAAGGAATGTTCCTGATTGTAAAAGGTCCAATGGCTAGTGCGCCGCTGGCTGGATCCCAGATTTGCAGAGTACCGTTGATAGTCTCAGAGTATCGGATTTCGTTGACTGTCAGAACAGAGTTGCCCTGGTTCGACAGCACGACATTGTTAGCAGGTGGCGCTGCGCCAGCTGTGATGATGTTGTCGAATTCGATTTCTCTGGGGCTGACAGAAAGTCTTGGGTTGTCCGTCTCGCCGGTGCCAGTGAGTCGGGCAGACGTGGTGGTACGGTATCCGGCGACGCTGTTCTCCGTCTCAATGTTAACATCGGTGGAGAGAAGGCCGAGGTCCGTAGGCGCGAAGGCAGCCTCGATTGCGAATGTGGCGCCCACAGCCAGTGTCAAGGGCAGTGTTGGCAGTCCTGAAATGCTGAAATCGGTTGCCTCACGGAGAGAAATGGCATTCACAACAGTGTTGATCAGGGCAGTGCAAGTCAAAGTCCGGGTCTCTGCGCTGGCTTCGAGGCTGACGGCGCCAAATTCGAGAGGCGAAGTGCACTCGATGGGGCGGTTGATTGGAGCGCCGAATCCGTAGAACAAACCAGTAGTCGTACCCAGGTACATGATCCCGTCGCCAAATACGGCGCGGCTGAATTTGGTAACGCCGGCAATCTCCCACTTCCGAAGGAGGGTAAGCTCGCCGTCGCGAGGAACTGCATCGTAGATGCGAAGCTGGCCAGGCGGGTTCTGTACGTCAGTGGTCCAGAGCATAGCAGTACCAGGCTCTCCGTTGAGAGAGGTGACAGTGCCGTGGCTCACGCCAAGGGTGTAGCCATTGGACTCTGGGGTCTCAGCCTCTTTGTTGAACGAAGGCACACCGTTGGCGCAAGAGAAGCGGAAGACGATGGTAGGATATTGTACGACTTGGGTAAGTTAGCAATAACATTGGGAGTGAGACGCAGACAGGAACCGAACGCACCATTGATGTAGATGTAGCCACCCTCTCCAGGGTAGACGCCAGCACCAGCATAAACCGAGTTCTCGTGCTCGTAAGTCTGGATGATTTTATCGAAGCGATCCTCGCCGTTGCGGTAACCACCCATGTCATCAAGATTGATGAAGTAGGTCTTCTTGTTCTTGCCTGTCACAACTCCAATACGTCTGATGTTGCCGCAAGAGAATTCGTTGGGGAGAATTTGAAGAGGGCTCGATCCAAGATCCTTGTCGTCTCCATCCATAGCGCGCTTATCCCATGGTATGAAGAAGTCGACCAGATCTAAACTTCCGTCTTCTTGGATCGTCATGTGAACAGCAGCCTCCTCAAGTGAAGTCGGGGGGTTGCGGCCGTTAACAGGAATCTCGGCAAGCTGTCCAGCGTATCCGTTGCCTGTCGCGAAGAAGATGGAGCCCTGGTCATCGGAAGCAAGGCCACCGCCGGCCATCCACAGGCCGCCGCCCTCGGTGTTCTGGGGTACGCCCTCGCCCTGCGTCGCAAAGCGCTCGACCTGTTCTCCGGTCGTCTTATCCCAGCCCATGACCCAGCCGGTGAAGTTGAATTTGACGCAATGGGAGCCGAGGCCGGCGTAAATATGCTGACCCACATGCAGCAGCGCAGGGCGTTGGAGATGGATGCCACCATTGAAGCTTCGATCAGGGTTATTCCTGGCGACGGTACCCTCAAGATCAACAGGAAAGTTGGGACGCTCGCTCAAGTCGTTTACATCGAGAGCGTGCAGGTAGTAGCGTCCGGCGGGGCGACCTTGGGCGACATCGACAAGTTCCTGGTTCTCGTAGGTCTTGGCCAGGAGATAGTAGGTGCCGGTGTCAGGATCGATGACACCAGTACCAGTGACACCGACGTGGGGTTGAATATCGTAGCATCCGTCGAGGTCTGCCGAGAGGAAAGGAATGTGGAGATTGCGTGAGGCGAGGATTTCGCCCGTCTGCGCATCGAGTTTGTAGACATTGTTCTGCGTGGTAGCAAGATAGACGTACTGCTTGTCGCCGGGAGTGTAAACGAGTGGCTGAGAGAAGATCTGCTCGGCACGGCCGCCATATCGGCCGGGAAGTGTGGTCTGGAAGATCTGATCGAATTGAGAACTACGGACGACAGCCGGGTCCATGTTATGGTTACTGGAAAGGGAAATGTCAGTGCTATTTCAAGGGGGCCGGATACGGAACGGGGACGCTGACGTCTGGTAGCCGGCGCGCGAGTTATCGCCCACCCCCAGGTGATGGTGTCGGTGTCGGCCAGGCCATTGGCTAGGCCGGCGACCGCTGCCAGCATCAGCCAGCGAAAAGAAACCATGGCCGCGAACCTAAGCTTGACGAACGAGTGAGTCAAGAAAGGATGGGAAAGCGGATGAAAGATCGAGAAACCCGCCCGGCAAAGCCAGGCGGGCGGGCCGCTGGTAATATTCGTCGATCATACGGCATCCTTGTTCTGTTCCTGATGGGTCCCCTCGATTTTCGGGTGTGATGCCGCGCCGCGCGGTGCCTTGTCTGCATTGCTTCCTCGGATGAGTAGTACATACATGTAGAGAGAGCAAGGTCCCGGACTCTGCACTTGTGGACGGGCTCCGCCAGTCGGCGCCTGCCAAATGATGGATGGCTCATGGCCGCACGCCCGCTTGGTTTGGCGAAGCGACTGGGCAATAGTGGGGACGTGGTCAATCTTGGATGTAACAGGCAGGCCGATGAGAAATACTGTCGCTTGTGTCGCTGGTGCCAAGGCGTCTGGAAAAAAGGACCCCCTCCACCGTCCGATTAATCTCTGTAGGAGGCAGTCGGTGCCCCTCTTCTCGATTCCTCCAGCGGCCGGGGTGCCGAACAGTTGCGACGGGGGAGTAGGTTCCTGACGATCCCACCTGTTTGGGCCTGGTTCCCATGCACCGAATAGACGAAGATGCTGGGCAGTGGCGGTGCCAGGCCGCTGGCCGGGTCTTTGTCGTGTGCTGGACCTTTCCCCTTGGCGGGCTACTGCAGAGATTCATACGCCAGGCACACGTTGCTGCTTATCTTTCGCGGACACGTGGTGGCCAGTGATTTTTCTTTGTCGCCATCAGAGGCCCCAAGGTTGGCAGATGCCTGGCGAGTAGAGCATTACCAGGGAGGAGGTTCGCCTCGGTACCTATCGAAGGAACAGATATTTCCCCTCGTTTGCTCTGCAGACGGTTGCTCCGCTGGTGAAGAAGCCAGCTCATTGTTGCGTCAAATCGACAGGTTCGTCAGGTGTTCTGGCGAAGGCGAGGATGCACTCCTTCGTCCAATTTCCAGAAGCGGGGGCGGTTCAAGGGGCAGTTGCGGGCTGTCGAGGGAATCGGCGCGGAAAATGCAGGTGGCCGTGTGGCGCTAACGCAAGCCACGCAGGCCCTCCGACTGCCCCGACAGATTTAGCGGGTCTTGTCAAGTCTTGGCCTCGTATCGCTCACCAGCATCGCGATCCTCTCCCCCTTCGCTTCAGCAGGACAATGTCCTCCAACCGGGGTGGCGGCAGTCTACGTCTGCTCAAAGATGAGGGCCCTGGAAGGATTTCTTCGAGCCTCTCAATCGAAGTGGGCTGCGACAGCCGCATCTTTGGCATCGCAGTTCTTTCATGTCGAAGCCCATCTTTGGCTTCAAAGATCATGGTGTTGAATGATTTCACCCTGCCCTTGGCCCGACCGCCAGTGGCAGTGATGTGCTTAAAGGATACAAGGTCGATCCCCACCAGCGCGAGTGACAACGCGACCGACCATTGCGGCGGAGCTGCGTCTGCGGCATCAGTCTCAACAGACGTTCATGATCGAGTACTGCTGCCAAGTCACGCCGCTTTGTCTTCATCCCGATTACCTGCAAAACGTGTCAGGGTCCTAGCTTTTTCTTTATTTCGGACTTGATTCTTGCTGCCCGAAGCAGATGGTTCGGGGTATTACAGCTTACACAGGTGAGACCTGAGATCGAATGGGCCCAAACGTTATTTCCCTCAATCTAAGCTCGCATCTACAGCATCCATCTCTTTCGGCTCGAGCGTCTCGATCGACAAATATGCAATAGTGTTAACCTACCTTACCTACCGCATATTTGCCTTCGGTGGGTGACAAAATCAGAGATCGGTCTCAGCAGAGCACACAGCCGTCTTGCGTCATGCACCTCCACCCAAACTGCCAGGGGTAGGCTTCCCACCTACCCTAGCACGAGTCGACCTTCAATGCCGTTGCAGTAGTGGGTGGCATTTCAGTGGCATGCTCGAACAAGTTGGTCCCTCGCCTTTCGGTTCCAGAGAGCTGGAACTCATGCACGCGCCCCTTTCAGACTTGGCGGAAGGACACTTCAACGATCAAGAGGCGTCTGATTTACGCTTCTCGTTGGTCCCACATCATGCTGTCCCAGACTTTTGCGACCCATGGCAATAACCTGCCCTACAACTACCTGCCTTTTAGCCCGAGACGCCCCGACGCTAGGCCTTGTGGTCGATGCCCCGCCGCCCTCTGCCGTAATGAGCGGCCGTTGCTAGCGTTTGCATCTGTCCGTTCGCCCGAGGGAGCCGAAGAGGCGCTAAGCCCTGGAGTAAAAGTTCTACCGGAGGTTTACCACGGGGACATATTTTCAGCGTTCCCGTTCCAACTCAGTGCAGCTCAAGCTGGCTGCTGGAACATATGAGATGGGACATGTCCACCATGAACGACCATCAAATTTTGGTACAGACAAGTGAATCAGTTCCACAAGAAAATATTCCTCCTAAACTATAGTACATTCCGAAGCGCAAAGTTGCCCAGGGACTGGATCCTCCGGACAGACGAATTCTCGAGAAGAGAGAAAGCAAACCATCCATCGCGGTGTTGTGTGCCCTTCAAACTCTGTGATCCCCAAATCCCTCACAACATGTCGCCCATTCAAGCGAGATATAAACTACCATAATCAAACAAAACATGTCGAGGTATCTGTGATTCGTGAAACCCCCCTCATCGTGCCCAAATCAGACTCATCTTCTTCCACCACCGGTGTCCTTCAACTTCTTCCACACGCCCTGCCGCATTTGCTCGCTCAAGCCGTACGTCAACGCGTTGATGAGGCCAATATACTGGGTTGAGGCCTGCATGGCGCTCAGCCATCGCGGAGACTTTCCAACCGACTCCGCCAGCCTGTTCGCGATGCCGGGCATCCACAGAATGATGTACGCTATCGGGTATCCGTTCATGAGCAGCATCTTCCTGACATTGGGCGCCGCCGGCATGCGCGACGCCTCAAAAGGCCTGCTATCGGTTCCCGAGGCCGTGACCGTCGACTGCGTGACGGGATCGTTATTATAGCCGCGCTCGTGGTCCGCCGTGTCTGGTGTTCGCGGCAGGTTTTGCATCTCGTGGCTGACGGAGACGGAGTGGGCGACGAGAATCTTCTGCGTGTCGTTGTTGTCGGGATCAGAGGGCACCGTGACCATGTGATCCGTTTTCCTGCGGGTGCCGGTGGCCGTGGACATGCTCCTGAGGCCCTTGAAGACGCGCTTCAGCTTAATGTAGATGTAGGTGTAGATGACAATCGTCACGAAGAAGATGGCGATGCGCCAGCCGTGGGAGAGACCATAGCGCAAGTCGAGTCTGTTGCTCCTGATCCAGCACCAGTTACCACTGACGTAACCGTATGAATTCAGCGCGAGACCAATGGTTCCTGAAGGCACAAGTCAGCCATCTCCGCCATGCCAGGAGGTTTGAGGGGGTGCTTGAGGTTGCCTTACCGGTCGTGAAGCCAGGCAGCCATGCCGAGAAGCAGATCAAGACCTGCCATTTTGTATCCAGGTCGGCGATGGAATCCTTCTTCACAACGGATAACAGAACAATAATGGAAATGATGAGAATGTTGAAGTCAATGTGCTGGGCGTTCGCCTGACTAAACCAGCCACTGACGAGACATAGTGTGCTCGGCTTGGAGAACGGACTTGGTGTGCGGCCGTTGATGAGGAAGACGGCGCCAGATATGGTGTTTCCCAGTCCATAAATGAGATCTATTGCAAGTTAGATGAGAAAACGCAACGATTACGAATCTCAGTGTTCACTTGCCTGCTAACAACAGGTTGATGATAAGAGCATGGCGGAAATGTCGTCGCGGCGGGCGAAGAATCTGGAATCCTAGGGCCGTCGCAGAGCCCAGGAAGGAGAGGAGGGACCCGATGAATGTGGGCACCGAGATCACATAGTCGATCGGTCTTGATTCGGCCATCGCTAATCTTCAGACGGGAGTATCCAGGTGCGAAAGAAGCAGATCGGCATAGCAGGCTCTAGCAAACCTGATCAAAGGAGAATAGAACATGCGAACAGACAACGGATCGGAAACCTTCGAGAGGGGGATCTTGCGGATACTGACCCTATTTTTGACCACGGCTCCTCATCAACGTTCAGGGTCAGATTCTTCATCGAGCGACCTCACCAGGATCCGGCAGCCGAGTTTTGCATTGATCAACGCTTGATTAACTGCATTGAGGGCTTGACCCAGAAGCAGCAGCAGCCTGCCCCTCAGCTCACCGGTTTGTCCACCATCCCGTGCATGCGAAGACTGCAACAAGCCTTCCAGCGTGGGATGGATCATCGTTTGAGTAGACGACTATCCATGTTCTGGGCGTCCGCCAAGCGACCAAGAAGGGTTGGTCGTTGCTCCAATGGACCATGACCCGGGTTTCGTGGTAGGCTGCACAGGGGTGTTCCCTTGCAGTAGCGATAACTTTATTTCCCCCTAACATTAGCGTCATGGGATGGACCCTGTCCTTCATTCAGACCGACAGCCCTGATGTTGACGCTGCGCCCGCAAAAGCGGCGCCAAGCGCGGATTTCCTAACTCGTAAAGGCTAGCCGTGATGTCGGGTCGAGTCATCACATCCTTGGTATACATGTACAACTCTCTTTCTTCGATGTCTGTGGGCGTGCTGTGACGGTTTTCAGGGGCCAAGCTCAAGTCCAGGCAACTTTCTCCAGGCCTGGTATGGGAGGCGATGCAACGGCCAGCGGGATGGACCGCAAGGGAGGCCATTTCAGCAGGAACGAGTAAAGCACGCCACACAATCAAAGCATCCCCCAAAATGTTCAAAATCCTGACCAAGAGCTTAGAATATCCGTTCGCATGCGGCCATGGCTGGTGTGGCTTTTGGTGAGGGAACCTACTCGCCAGGATCACGCGAGGAGCATTTCGGGGGACTTCCCCGGCTCGCCACCGCTTCACTGCGTCTCGTGACAATGGCAGAGCCGTCGTCGAATCATCTCGGCAGGATTTCACGATCAGTCCACGATTCAGTTACACGTTGTGTCTCGCGCTGAACAGCTTGACGAAAGTAAAGGCACGTCTCATGTCCCGCCGACGGATGAACGACAATCCTGAAATGTTTCAGTAAGCAATAGAACGCTAGATCCATGCGGAACAATGGGAACCCTGCCATTCCATGACTCTTTTGCTCTTTTCTTCTTTCTTGATCATTCCACGTCGTTCAGCTCCCCTCGTGGCCTTGCAGCTTCTCCCCAGGGTAACCCCTGAGAGAGCGATCTCGAGATGTCTCACTCTGATGGATCATGTGGTTGTCGCTCATGGTCATCCGGATTAATTCTCTAAATGCTCGCCTATAAAGACTGTATCGCTCTCATGCCACCAAACCATCATTAGACAATGAACTTATCAACCACATTGCCCCCATGCTTTCCTCATACGAATCGTAAGGCTGGTTCCTAACACTTATGCTTACGAGGCATGTAGAATGTTCCCTCAACCTCGACAATGTCATCCTGGTTGAGGCGATCGACCTCAATGATCGTGCGGGGCGGGTACTTGTTCGCGTCGGTACCCCAAAGCTCAATCTGTACTTGGTTGACCAAGGGCCGGTACCGGAACATGTCGGTCACGTAGACGACGAGGCGGACACAGTCATAGAGCTCCACGTCCGCAAACTCGGCAAGCTTCTTCATGTTCTGGAAGGCTTGGCGAATGCGTGGAAGCCCCTCGGGCGCGAGGCTGTTGTCCAGCGGGACGATGCCGCGCATACCTTTGGTGGCAGGTGAGGTTAGCACGTGCAATCGCAAGTATTCTCACGGCTTCAGTGGCGTCATACCAGCAATGTACAAAGTGTCGCCAGCACGGGACATCAAGCTCCAAGGCCCTGTCGTGTCGAAAAAGTCGGAAGGGTTGTAAATCTGCACGCCAGCGTTCGAGGTGAAGTTGGGTTTGCAGCTGCGCGAGCGCAGACCCGAGCAGGGGCAGGAGGGCGAGGGCGTTGAAGCGCATGTGCTGTCGTTTGGCGCGCGTGTGTCTTGTCTTTGGTTGATGATCAGTTGCCAATCGAGTCGGCCGGCGAAATTGAGCACCACGTCTTTCTTTATGAAGGCCGCTGGGCAGATACCAAGCATAAAAAGGAAATTGATCGATTGAAGACCAGGGTACCCTACCCAACAGACAGCAATCTATCCTCGAAGCGGTAATTAGATGGCTTTCTATTGCATCATTAGTTATTCTGTTACTGGGATTATAGTTAGGGTTGATACGTTTTCCGGGCTACCCCGCTGGCTTTGTTATCCGTCACGTAATCTGCACGTCCTACATATCTCACGTGATCAATGTCTTCCCCCAGCGAATTGATTGATGCGGGGTGGGAACTGATTCTTGGCCTTCGAGGTGTCAAGGTCTGGCGAATAGGCGAGGTGAAGCCAGGGTGGGAGATCATTTGTCAAGAGAGGCGGAGTGCAACTAAGGTATACAATAAATCTTCTGACTAGTCCTGGAAAGCTACACTATTGAGTCGTGAAGGCCAATAAATGCAGGTTTTCGTCCGTTGTTGACTTCCCACCCCCCCGCCCGCTTTACATCGACAAAGTCGGGTCCCCATCGTGGCTCACATCCTTAACCAAGACTCCGGGTTCGCCATGGTGGGCAAGCCTGAACACCGGTTGCCCCTGGGGGATCGAGAGACTCGGCTGCTCCTTATTGAAACGAACGTGGTGGTCGTAGGTTCGTGCACCTCGCCAGCGACAACTAGGGCGCGTCACGGTAGCCCCTGTTGGAAAGGCTCGGAGATGATAAAGCATAACAGTATGGTCATGGTTACTTGACCTACTTCCACAGAAGCGAACTCAACTTGCCCCATATGAGGCCGCCAGCCCCTGTGCCACCCAGTACCCTGTACTGCTCAGCTAGAAAAAGACACCAACAAAATCGTGCAACCTACCCCTATTGCAGACCAAGCCCTCTAGTATTTCTCGCTTCGGTTTTCCCACTTCTCCAGCAATGAACCATATCCCTTTCAGCTTTTTCCTGTCTCTAAAAACGATCGAGAGCGGCTCCAAAGAGTTGCCTGAGACCCACCTGACCCTTGGTAGCGACCTCACTGTGGTTAGGAATAAATTTGATGATGTTGATAGAGAGCGTATCGATGCCAGCCTCGAGAAAGCGAAGGGCGCCAGCGATGGCGGGACCAAACCCAACTGAAGAGATGATGTTGGAGCGGGGAAACAAGACGTCGAAGAGGTTTTTGTAGACCCTCACAAGGTTCACGAAGGCGTCAAAAACCTGGGCCTGGCCGTCCGCGGAGAAAGGCTCCTCCACTTCGATGCCCTTGAGCTTGAGGGCGTTCGAGGCGACGGTGTTGGCCAGAGCCTTGAAATTGTTGACGACGCGCTGCGGCAGGCTATGAGTCTGGGCGTTCGAGATGATAGAAGTGAGCAAGCGCCGCAACTTACAGGAACAGCATTGACGAACGCAACGGGGTTGAATGGGGTGATCTGCCTGACGAGATCGCTGGTCTCCTGGGAGGTGTCGGCGATGAAGTTGATGGCCCCGGCTAGGGTTTCAGCCGAGAGCTGTTGGGCATGGACGAAACCCGTGAGGGCTGTGAAAGCGAGCGCAACGATCTTGAACTGCATGGCGGTGATTGATGAAGGCGTAAAAGTGTGGCTGTGATAGGGCTTGGGTAAGTTAAGGGGAATTGGATTGATGATGAAGCTGTGTCAGGGCTAGGATGCGTGCGCTGAGTGTTGTCGTTTGTGCCGTTATATGCACGTTCAGAGCAAGTCGTGACCTTATGGATGATGGACAGGACTTCCACGGCGAGTGTCAGGGCCGCCTGTGCCACGGGCAGCGCAGACCACGAGATACTGCCGTCGGCATGATTTTTCGACATTCCTGGGAAAACCGAGGTGATCCTCCCTACCAGGACGCTTCTGGGGTCTTTCCACGGGTGAGCCCGGCCCGCATACCGCTTGAGATTTCTTCGTGGTTTCAGCACTGCTGACCCTTGGAGTTGATTGTGCCTTCGTCAGCCAAGATGTTAATGGCGCGATACATCACTCGAGTCTTGTGAGGGTTCACGGGAAACCGTGAGTCAGTTCGAAGCACGAACGTCAGGGTCGTGAGACACTGTACGCAGCAAGGCCATGGCCGTTGGACAGTAATTAAAGATGTCTTTCCTTGAGCACGGGCTTCCATAGCTGACATGTCTCACCGCCTGACTGTCTCTTGAACCGCGGCCCGAATCAGGGAACGCGGGAGGGCGTCTCGTGTGAATATTGGCAGCATGAAGTTGCCAAGAGGGAGAACATTTTCCAACGTCAGCAAATGGATGTGCCCTGACAGCCAACTTGATCAATATTGGCACAATTGAGTGTACAATAATGGAAAGGAATTTCGCGCCAAGAAATCTTTCTCTAGATGTGGATTACCCTCGTAATGCGATGCTTGGCGCACCTGACCATGACAGTCTCGAAGCACTATTGACTGTGGGACAAGTTGGCGGGGAGGTTGAAGCCTTCGAGAATCTGGTCCATTTGAAACGATGCAGAGGAGGTCGTCAATGAGAAGCCCACAAAGCTTGAATCATTGCCCGCGAGTCAGGCCACGGGACAAAAAGGCGAGTCTCACGATCATTCTGGATCATGGACCCTCGTTTCATGGCGCGAATGACCAGCCACCCAGAAATCAAACCGAGCTGCATCTGCCCCCAAGATCAGATCATCCATGATCCTCCACACTTTCTATGCCAGAAGCAAAAACGCCATGCAAATGCACATCAGCCCATTGGACCACCGATCCCAATCAGATGTTTAGGTTATGCTCTTATGCAGCCATGGCACCACCAACTTGTCCGGGGAGAACCAATTGCGAGCCGGGACCCCGCATGCGGCAACGTTAGCCGCGGAGACGTCGGCAACGACCCACCGCGCCGGCCTCCCTTGTGCGGCGCCGCCCACGATCTAAGGGAGAATCCGGCAACCAGCCACAAGACGTCATCACTGGTGCTCTCGAAACCTTATGGTCTGACCTTTCTCCCCGTCGGCTACAAGTTCGTGCCTCGCTCCTTGTGCTCTTCTGTTTCTACTCTTCCTTTCCTGCGAGGGTCTTCCGAAGCAGCATCCAAGGCCCACTACCACATCCCATTGCCATTGTCACCATGGGCGGCACGAGCCACTTTGTCGTGGAGAAGCGGGACCATCCCGGGTCCTCGGAGCAGGCCATCGAGAACGAGCCCGACTGGGGTGCGGGGCACAACCACCGCGTCGGGTTCAAGAACGTCGATGGCCGCGTCCCGGGTTACAGCGGCGAGCCGGGCGGGCCCAAGTACTGGGAGAAGGCGATGAAGAAGTACGAGGCCCTGCTCGACAGGAAGCGAAAGGGCGAGCTGATCAACTTCCGCGATGTCATTGACGGCGAGGACGACCTTCGTCTCATCCACCCCCAGGACCGGGCAGTCGGTGTGCGCTTTGCCCTCGACTGCACCGAGGACTGGGTCAAGTATGGGCAAAAGTGGCCAATCAACGAGGCGAAGAAGAAAAAGGTAGAGGAGAAGAAGAAGAAAAGTGAAGAGGGGCAGGACTCACAACAGAATGGCGCCAGCCAGCCTGCAAAACCTGCGCATGACGACAAGACGAGCCACGGCGATCTCAAGGATGAGCGGAAAAACGACGTTGGCGAGGGCGAGACGCTTGAGGATAAGTATACCGACGAGGAGCGAGCGCTCTTGCGTGCCTCTGCAACATGAGAGGACTACATGGCCAACCTCAGGACCAACGACGGCAACCAAGAGTCGCCGCAGAAGCACCACCGCTGCGACGTTTTCATTGACGAGGCCGATCAGTTTACGCCCGACAACTGGTTCCCCCCCAGTGCTGAGCTCATCCGACTGGACGGGGAAGCCCCCCCTTCAACGCCGGGGGGCCCCTCCCCAAGCCTGCTGGGCGCCGGTTTCATCACGCCCCAAGAGCCTGCCTATGTGCGAAACCCCGGCCCCCTGCCGCGGTTGATGTGGGAATATCAGACGATAGGACATCAAACGAAAGCAAGATCAAGCTGACGATGGAAGAGATGAAGCAAGGCTGCCGCAGCATCAACATTCCCGTCTTCATGGCCTGCGACGGCACCGCCGCAAGGAAGTTGAACATGATGCGCAGAACACAGGGCTTCAACTGGGGCGCCGGCGGCGGCGGATGCGCCTACTGGAAGGGCGCCCTCCTGCGCGACGTGCTGCTCGCGGCCGGCGTGCCAGACGATCTCGGCAACGACGGCCCGCGGCGCTGGGTCAATTTTGAGGGCTCGGAGGACCTCAGCGCCGGCAAGTACGCGACCTGCATCCCGTTGGCGTACGCTATGGATCCGCGCAACGACGTCATGCTGGCCTACGAGATGAACGACCTCCCGCTGCCGCCGGATCACGGCTACCCTGTGCGGGTCATCATTCCGGGCCACGTCGGCGGGCGGTGCGTCAAGTGGCTCAAGCGGGTCTGGATCTCCGAGAAGGAGAACGACTCGTACTACCACATCTGGGACAACCGCGTGCTGCCGTCCTTTGTCACGGACAACGAGAGCCCCTTTGCCGAGACCATGTTCCGCCATCCCGGCACGGCCTGCATGGAGCAAAACCTCAACTCGGTCATCGTGCACCCTCAGCAGGGCGAGAAGATTCTGCTCAAGGACGCCGGCAAAGGAAAAGGGACCGAGTATCGAATCCAGGGGTTCGCCTACGACGGCGGCGGCCACGAGGTGCAGCGCGTCGAAGTCTCGCTCGACGACGGCGCAACCTGGCTCTACTGCATCCGCAAGTTCCCTGACCTGCCGATCCGCCACGGCAAGAAGTTCTGGACATGGTGCCACTGGCACGTCGACGTGCCGCTGCATCGCATGGTGCAGGCGCGGAGCATCATCGTCAAGTGCTGGAACGTCTTTAAGAACTCGCAGCCACGGGACCCGGCTTGGAACCTCAAGGGCATGATGAACAATTGCTGGTACACCGTCAAGTCGGAGATTGCGCAGGACGACGAGACGGACGGCGCGTACGTGCTCTTCCGACACCCGACCGAGCCGGCCAACGGTGATGGAGGATGGATGCAGCCGAGTGTCGTCAACCAGATCGAGCTGGCGAAGCGCGAGGCCGGGACGCCGCAGAAGCAGTTCACACGCGAGGAGATTGAGAAGCACGATTCCGAGGACGACTGCTGGATCGTCGTCGACGGCAAGGTGTACGACGCAACGTCGGTCATGTCCTGGCACCCGGGTGGCAAGGCGCCGATCATGGTGCATGCTGGCCGGGTACATGCAGAGACGACGGAGGAATTTGGCAGCATCCATGACGGCTTTGCCTATGAGAAGCTGAAAGGTGCGTTCATGTTCGTGATGAAGCCTCAGAGCCCATGCTGACCGACCCAGAATGCCTTTTAGGTACCGTCACCGACAAGGCGGCCAACTTCATCAAGGAGAACGCCAAAAAGCAGGCTGCCGAGAAGGCCAAGTCCAAAGACGACAACAAGGCGACGCTGCAGAAACACCGCTGGGTGCCGACCAAGCTCATCGCCCGCAAGGCCATCTCCGAGGACACGCGCGCCTACACGTTCCAGCTGCCCGACCACAAGGCGATTCTCGGCCTCGGTACATGCCAGCACATCCTCATCGGCTTCCACCTCAAGGACAAGATGCTCGTTCGGTCGTACACGCCGACACGGCCGATCCTGCCTGCGCTAAATAACATGCCAGACCGGCTCCCCAGCCCGGCACAGAATGGCGTCCCCAACGGTAAGGGGGCCGAAGAGCGCAGCAAGGCCATCAACGAGCAGCATCACGATCTTCGCGACGGCGACGGCACGTTTGAGTTGGTGGTCAAGACGTACTTCCCGACGGACCAGCAGCCCGGTGGCGCCATGTCGAACATCCTCGACTGCATGCCACTTGGCGAGGAGGTTGAGATTCGCGGACCGACGGGCGAGATTGTCTACCTTGGCAATGGCACGTTCCTCATCGACGGCGAGGAGCGCAAGTATCGACGTGTGTCTCTTGTTCTCGGCGGATCGGGTGTGACACCTGGGTTCTCCCTCCTCTCGCGCGTCATTATGTCTGGCGATGACGAGACGGAGATCCGGGTCGTGGACGCCAACAACACCGAGGCTGACATTCTGCTGAGGGAGGAGATGGAGGAACTCGTCAAGAAGAGCAAGGGACAGTTGAAGGTCGTGCACGTGCTCAGCCGACCTAGCGACGCATGGAAGGGGTTGACGGGATACGTGACGGGGGAGATTCTCAAGGACAACTTGTTTGCGCCGGGTGAGGGGGCGGCGACGTTTGTGTGCGGGCCGCCAGTGATGATGCAGAAGGCAGTGCTGCCGGCGATGAAGGAATGGGGGTATGAAGAGGACAAGGATTTGTTTGGCTTCTAGAAGGGGTGAAATAATCAGGGCAATGAAAGGGAAATGTATTCGACACCTATATGAACTAAATCGAGCGACAATGAACGCCAATGTACCAAACATGCATCATACAGAGCATTGAGCTTCCTCGTCTATGATCTGTAGTTACGGTCCTACTTTCTGACGGTTGATGAGTGCCGCTTTCTGTTCATGCGCCGTATGGAGGGACGAAGGAGGGACGAAGGAAGTTTTCGTCAGGCCGCCCGACTGTGAGACGGACCTGCGTGTCGAGTGCCGGCATCGTCGTTGCGGAGCCCTGCGCTGGTTAAAACCAGGAGACATGGAATTTCTTGATAATTAATCGCTTGATTGAAGGGAAGTACCTACGGTCTCTCGACTGCAGCCGAGCGTGTCTGGCTTCCCACCAGGTCAGGATGGAGAGCGTCAGGGACGGAACTCCGAAGATGCATCCCAGGATCAGGGCTATGAGGGACTCGTGGATCATGGTGAAGGGCGATGACCACCGTTGTTTGTGGAATGGAGAACAAGCCCGTCTGTCTGCTGTTGGATGGTGGTCAGGGCAGACGAGGGGCGCGATCTGGTCGTTTTGGGACGGCTAAAAGTGCCGTGATGGGAGGCGAGAAAGTGACTGGGAGCGGTGCCACGTTATGATCGCGCCCAGTCACTGACGGGTGGGACGCTCTTTATAGGTAGATGAGTGCACTGCCGCCCTCCTCTCCCCTTTATCCTTACGTGCTGGCCAGACGGGATCCCGATAGCCTCTCAGGGTGGGTGCCGAGCTGAGGCGTGAAGCACCTTGGAACGAAACCGCTGCTTGCTTGCTCGCTCGCTCTTATACAGCCAGCCCGAGCCTGGGTTCGCGTCGTGGTGCAAAGACACGGAGCCAAACCGCTGCGCTTCGAAGCCCGGAACGGCGAGATTGCACGAAAGCTTGCGGGGGCAACGCTACAGTACAGTACCGAAATTTCGAAGGAACGGGGTACTTACACTCGACCAAGTGGTGCCAGTCCCCTGGTTGACAGCATACTTGCAAGCCATAGACTTGCAATATGTCTAAAGCTCTGGGCAGACAACATATCGCGCTCCAGGCTACTTGACCTACCTGGGTGGCTATCAGGATAGGGAAGCTAGGTCCCCTGCAGTACCCTCTGTTTCCAGCATCCTGCATTTGGAGAAACGACCGCCAGCACAGGGGCCCACCAGATTCACGTCAAGCTCAACCAGATTCGACTTGAAGTAAATGGTAGTATCAGTGATAGCAACAACGCCAGAACAGCCCGAGGACTGGAGGATTCATCAGTCCCATGACGAAATCGTGATGAGACTGCCTCCAACCTGAATGACGTAGCATGGCCCGTTTCTTTTGGTCGTCAAAGATGCGACCCAGACTGAAAAGTCGAAACACCCCCCATTTTTGGTCGACAAGCAGGGTAAGTTAGGTCCAGGCATGGCCATGGGGACGCCGCGTGATCGAACGGGACAACGACGGACAACCACAGTTCATCACGAGTAATGGACGACCCCTGCCAGGGCCCAACAGCCGACTTGAAGCCGCTGAGAACAACCCCAACTTTCAGCACCAGCCGCAGGCCCTGGACCCCTAGCCCTTTCGCATATGTCCTGTCTGGCGGGACATGTTGACGGGCAGCGGTTAGGCCTGCATGGCACCATGTCGCTTCCACGTGCGGCCGACCACATCCCTTTTTTTTTTTTTTTCTAATGACTTGTCTGCGTCCTCTGAAGATGCCCTTGGGACCACATCAGAGATGCACGAGGACCCCTGGAGTTGGTCGCAAAATATGTTAACGACCATCGGTGCTGGAACTGCCTGAGTTCCGCCTGAGCAAACAAAGACCGACTTCGAGGCCGCCACGGCCTACACCTCGTACCATTGTTGAAGAATGGCGCAGGTGGCCGGCACCATGAAGACAGAAAAGGCTGCGTTCTCCAGGTCCGTCACCTGGATTTCCATGGGCCAAAACCCACTCGCTCCCCCACGGCGCAGTGCTCGTGCTCGACGATTCTGGGAGAAGAGTCTCGCCCCTTGCACTCCCCTTCTCGCTCGCGAGCCGCCAGCACGCCCGCCAACACGCATGTCTCGGGGCTTGCCGCAATTCAAGGCATCTGCTTCTGACCGTTGGCGGCGCGAACATGTCGTCGCCTCTGAACCCTGCAAGGCTGCCTGGACAACCCTGCCACACCTTTTCCTACTTTCATGGTTCAACCTTGCTTGTTCGAGCCTGTACGGCAAGGCCACGCCTAAGCCTAGAACGGATCTGCGCCCCCATTCTTCGTCCATATTTTTGCCCTCCTTGTCTGTGCATTGAATTGGAACATCCGTACTCGAACATCAAATTCGCAACGAATGCCGTACAAACTGTTCTTAGTCTGGGAGCATTTACGATCGACGCCCGTCCATGATCATTGAGCACCATGTCTTGCTCCTCGCGTGGTCAAGTCTTCCTCGTGTTTAATAGGTACCCTTGCGGCGTCAGTCTTCGAACGCGACAAGATAAGATGTGCGAAGAATACAGAGACAAGTAAGGTCCCTCGCCTTGGCTGAGTGTCCAGAAATATCTACCCAGATGCGGACGGAGACTTTCTGCTCGCATTAGCTTGTACGTGACTGTTCGATCAAGACGTTGGAGGGCCGAGTGCCTAGCACCCCATCAATGAGTGACCCTCCGCTGCCCCCTCCGCGATCTCAGTACGCTTCCAGAATGAGGGAGAACGAAATAGCACAGAACCAAGCCAACAGTGCACAAGAGTTCCTATACCGTTTACCCAATCTTCTAGAGCCTTTTACTGGCAGCGGCCATTTGTACGTTTAAATGGATGCACCTTGTATGCGACCCTGGGCTACAGAGAGTACCATGTAAGCTTAAACGCTGTCGTCGAACGCTGTCGTCGAGCTTTGCTTCCGACTGGCGCTGTCGACTGGTGCGATCTCCCGCCCCTTGCTATTCCCACCTGGCATTTCTCTCTGCTATCCCCCTTGGTCTGCTCCTGGCGTTCGCCACAGTCCGAGTACCAATCGGAGCGCAGATCGATGCATCATTTGCTGCATCATTTGCTGCATCACTTGCTGCATCATTTACTGCATCATTTGATGCAGTATTTGATGGAGCATTTGATGGAGCATTTGAAGGAGCCTATGATGTCCACAAGAAGGCGGACACTCGGGAAACGGGCCAGGCTATGATCGAGGCCAGAGCTGAACAAGCAACGTCACCGAGCCCGCACCCATGGCCAGATGTGATGCAATCAGTTTGCGTGACACTCTACGCGCGACGAGACTTTGCCACCAACCATTGCTGAATCGGGCTTTTGGCTTTTCCCTGCAGCCCGACCAGCGCGAAATCTCAACATAGGGATTCTGGGGAGAATGGGAGACCAAAAGCGTGCCTGGGGTGTGTCAAATCGCGAAGCTTAGGGAGTTGGCGGAGGCTGGAGGTGCTAAGCCTGAAGCTGCCTGTCCCGCTGAGTACCTATAGCAAAGGTGGAGGCTCGAGTCTTTCACGCGCATGCCCGACACAATGACTGGAGGTATGCTGCTTCTTGCGCCATCAACGCAGAGCACATTTGGCAGCGACTTTTGCAAAGTATCTGAGTTTTTCGAGAGACGTGCCAAGATGTGTCAAAATATGTGCTTTGATTTACGCAGCTACTATGGTTGCAGCCGGAGTTTACCTATTAATCCGTTCTTCTCCTTCAATTGAGTATAGTTCAACTATATTACAGATATGTCCCATGATTAGGAGCTTTTACTACTATTTTCAGTTCTCTTGAGCCTACTCGTCAGATATCTCCGAAATCCTATGGAGAGACCTGGTCTCGAATTGGCTTGATGATGCAGATGGCGTGAAGTCAAGTTCCGTGATGGTATCTTGTTCGTGAAGACAACTGACTACGTATCTGAGGTACTGAAGTCAGGCCAGTGAGGACTTCGTCTGATCAGGGCAATTTACTTTGGAAAAATATTAGGACAAACACCATTGCTTTTCTTTTCTGCAACACACGAGGTAGCCTTTGCGCATCATCTTTATCTGACTTCCAATGGGTGTCTTGGGGTCTTGGGGCATCTGCCTGATACGCAATCGCGAGACTTGACCCGAACTCATTTGCGCGTGGGAAAAGACACCGTCCGGCGTGGAAGAGTGCGTCGACGACGGCATGGGTAAGGCCTGGATAAGCGCGAAACCGAGGGCAGGGATGTAGGTGAAGCGGCGGCTCATCGAGACAACTGACCACCTGGAGGCACTACCATCCCATCAATGTGCGCCCTGCCGCCATCCCCTCTTCCCACCCAGCATCCAGTACACTCCCGGAACGTGGGACCAGCACAGGATGGACATCAACGGCGCTGGCCAATGCCGACACTGCCTGCTTTCTCTGATGCTATCACAGGGGCATCGGCCATCATGACGTCCAGATGTGCGGTCCTGAGCAAGGATGCCACCCCTGGAAAAAGCAGTGATGCGGGCGAGTGTGGAACGTCGTGCTCTCTCCTCCCGTTCTCCACGGCGCGCCAACTCCTCGCTTACACACACTAAGCTGGCGCGTGTGCTCTTGACGCATCCCACTTGCTTGTTGTGCTTTCAACGTGGCATCCCCCAGCGCCCCTTGTCGCGCCCAGCCAAGCTGCCTTCTCAGAGCACACTGCCGACTTCACCCCAAGCACTGCCTGTCACCCGTGTTTCTTTTAGCACATCCCCCCTGTCGGGCCCAGAAGATACCTGTGACGAGGCCAAAGAGGAAAAGAAGCCTATAGCGTAAGCTACCTATGCAGCGTTTCCCCCGTATGATGAAGGATGGGGATGGAGATGCAGAATGGCGGGCGAGGGGACCTGTACTGAGCGAACCAGCACCCGAGTACACAGACTCTGTGCACTCCTTCCGTGGACATCTCTCCCAGTGTCCAGTGGCGTTTGCTCAAGTGGACTTGGGATTTTTCGTGGACCGACTCACGCCATTAGCGTCGAGATCGCCACTCGTTCCCCGAGGAGACTGGAGACTGGGTACCATGGCTTGCATGGCTTGCATGGGTAGCCGGGCGGACAGACACCCCTTCGTCGGAACCTTCGTTCATCTCCACTCACTGACAGGTGACATCTCTCTACTGGCAAGGCAAGTAGCGCATCCACCACGGACCGACCGTGGCTCGCCCTCGTACTGGGCACACACCAAGGCCATTTGTTGGCGGACATGACCCCAGCCCGTTCCGGCCACAGAACATGGTGCAGGACCTCAGCCCTCTGTGGATAGGCAGCGGCTGCTTCCTTCAAGGCCAGTCCATGCCGGCCCTTTCAATCTCTAGAAGAGATCCGACACACCCTGAGCGGCTGAGCGGGGCAAACGGGGGCTCGTTGAAGCACAGTTCCCAGCCGTGCGGTCCTATCTGACCGCTGGAGCAAATGTGCATGGACATCAGGCTAGAGACGGGGCAGATCGATTTGAAAGGGACGCCACCACTAGACATCCGGATCCCCCACCCCCCTGGCTTGTTGACCGTGTGGTGTGGCTTGCTTCCCTGTGGCACCCTGTGAAGAATATTCACAGCCAATTTCACAGCCAAGACCCGTCCCGACTTCACACCTGAACAGGCGCTGCGCGTGGGCTCCTTGTCTCTGTGACTGGGCGCCACCACCAAATCTCGTACTGGTGCGCCATCCCCAACGTGAGACACAGCTTCTTGCCCATGCAAGGCCTCTTGACAGCAAAGTACAGGGCAATCTTCTGAAAAAACCATGCTCGATGCAAGACGAATAGCATGCCGGAGGACGGGGAGGGCGGTGCGGCGATCGAAGGGACCTGATCCAGGGACGTGAAGAAGAGCTACACGAGTCTCTGGCCTACACGCGTCGGATATCAGTACGCAGCACCAAGCGAGCTGGGCCCAACACCACGTTGGCCGCCCCTCATGCTAATCATCGTCTTGATGATGGAAGAAGATGTGTGGAATGCTTGTGGTTTGACTGTCGCACTGACAAAACTAGGACAGATGAACAGCTACGTTCATAACAGTGGTGCCGACATTCCAGCGTATGCCGACTACACTCGATAGCCCGCAGTATGCTCGAGTTCGCCTTGCGGTTCAGCCGTCACATAGGCGGTCTTCACACACAGTAAATGAACAAAGCCATTCGCTCACACTGCCCAACACACGAGTCTACTACGGCCAGGCAAAAGACAATTAACAAGTGATACGGAAGACGACTAGGAGGACAGATGGACGGCCAGTGAGAGGACCAGTAAGCGAACCACTGCGAGTACCAATGGGACGGTCGATGGGAAGGCTGATTGGAAGACAGATGGGAGGACGGATGGGAAGAACGATGAGAAGACGGATGGGAAGACGGATGGGAAGAGCGATGGGTGGAGAGAAACCCTGTCTCCAAGGGGTGTCTCTAGTACGGTCACTACTGGAATAGGCCAGGGTTGCGGCGTAGGTCAAGGAACAGCGCGGCGGAGAGGGCCATGCGCTGGCGCGCCGCAAAAGGCCGCGCGCTGCTAGCGTCGGCGATAATTGAAACGCCAATGCCTCCATTGCCTTCTTCCATCGCTTCTCTCGATCGCTTCTCTCGATCGCTCCCTTCATTACTCCTCCTCTTTGACTGAATTATTACTTCTTTGATTACTGCTGCTGTGTTACCTTCCTCTGATACTAAGCTAGAACTATTAAGAGCGATCTATATAGCACATACTATAGGCCTCTCTGAAACAAAGCTTACTACTACAATATTGTAATAACCAGAAAACGTGACAGCCACGGGAATCCCGCGACTGAGGAGCGCGATAAGGTCAGGAACCCGACCCGCATGACCTAGATCACGTGTTAGAGCATAAGAAATAAGCAGTAAGCATGCTCTGATAATATAGCAGATCTGCCAAGAGCCTAGATGAAGATTACTTCAAGCTATACTATATGTTGAAAGGGTCAAAAGATTGTGCGTTGTAAGCTCACAAAGCGCCATGTCGAAAAAAGATCGAGAAGCTATTCGCTGCTAGACTTCCTCCTCCAAATGAGTAAAACCGTAGTACATGTGCATTGCCTTTGAAACTGACATTGTACCTGCTTGGAGGCCCAGGTATCCCCCCCTGGGACATTCCCGACCACATCGACGAGAGAAAAATTGTCTAACAGGTGAACCTTTGGTTGCTCGATAAGACTCGGTACATGATGACTCTAAATCGAACCTTTTTCATAACAGTTACTGCATCCCTGCATCATGAACTGCACATCCCTGAAGATGAAGATGCATCGAAACCTCCCCTAAAACCCCTTACACCTTCGTTATTTGGTCCTCATCTACTCCGGCGACGGGCAGTGGTCATACAGTCCATCAGCATTGTTTCCCCACCACGTCGGGAACGGCACCGTCTTCCCACCCGCCCCAAACACGGCAAACGACAAGATGAACAGGACCGTCAGACTGGCGCCGTCGAAAGCGCCCGTCACGAGGTATGAGTAGTCCCTGAAGATGCGCGGGCGGTGGTTGCGGAGGTAGTACTGCACAAAGAGGCCGCTGAGGACCTGGCTCAGGAGCACGCACGTTTGCGACGCGTTGTAGGGGAGGTAGCCCGCGTACTGGATCAGCTGGGGCATGTTGAGGTCGTAGAGCGAGAAGCGCTTGATCCTGGGCACGAACTGGAAGGGCGACCATCGTTAGCGAGCTGCGGCGGACACCAATCGCGGGACGAGGGCAAGACTTACGTGCGCGAAGATGCGATGCACGACGACGATGCCGGCGCCGACGAGGAGACCGAAGGGGATGGCCTCGTAGCGGGTTCCTGATTTGTAGAGGTACTTGGCCAGCGCCCATGACGTGGCGTTGGTGTTGTAGGACTGGATCGTCGCGCCGCTCCAGGAGCTGTTGCCGTCGCTGTCGACGAGCAGCTCGCGATTGCCGTTCACGATGCCTCTCATGACGGCGTAGTTGACGAAGCCGCCAAGGACCGTGCCGTAGATCTGGGTGATGAACATGGCGCGGGGCGGGATTTTGACTATGTAAATGCTCAGACAGAGGATCTCATATCGGATAGGATGGTCACAACTTACGGTACTCGCCCATCTTGAGGTCGTTGGACAGGTTGACGGTGTTGACGATGACATTGTGAGACCAGGCGGCAAAGTACATGTTGCCAATAGGACGCTCGGGCAGCAGGAGACCAGCAATCATCTTGGAGAGGTTGTTCGTGGCGATGCCGTTGCCGAACCTTGAGTAAAGAATAGTGCTCTGCGGCTTGTCAGCAACGCTCATTTTCGTCATCAGTATCCTCAAGTAACTCACAAAAGGCGCAATCAAAACGCCGAGCAAAATTGACACTACGTAGCCCCAGGCCGGCAGGGTAATGTTCTCCTTGATCACAACAACGAGGCCAAGGACAAAGCTCAGGACGAGCACGGAAATATACCACCAGTGTGGCACGTCCTTGTAGTGCTTAACCATGTGCTGGTGGTGAGGATCGTTGTACACGCCCTTCCTCGCGCTCTTGAAGGTGCGCACGATGTCTCCACCCCAGAAGACGATGCAGTGAGCGACCAAGGCGCCGATCTAGAAACTGTTAGACCCGGACCATCCACAGCAAAGGTCTGAAGACAATACGTACAGCAGCATTCGCCATGAACATGGCGTACGCAAAGGTGCCTGTCAGCATGGGCACGCCGTACTGCGCGAAGGCCGCCTTGTCCAGCACGCCGCCGGCAAACACCTTGGCCGAGGGGTACACGGTCCCATCTTCTGCGCGTAGGCGTGTCGACATGAACGGCTGCGACTTGGCGCTCCAGGTGTTGCTGTAGTAGATGGCCAGCATGACAATCATGCAAATCAGATAACCAATACCAGAGTGAAGCTGGAGCGTAAGCGGAAGGGACGTGTTCATCGAGGTGATCTGCCCATAGCGTTAGCAGATATGGCGGACCATTTGAGATATCTGATGACATTACATATTGCCAGTCGAACGACAGAGTAAATATTCCCAGTCCCTCATTGTTGATTGAGCCACCAAAAAGGTTCTTCAGCACGGCTGCCTGCCTTTGGACCCTGTGGCGTTCATAGCCGCAAGGCAGGGCACCGAGACCGAGTTGAGCCCAGGGGAAGATGTACGCAGGGAAGAACCTCGTAAGCGGCCATGCCGGCAAAGGCATACCAGAAGACCCGGAGGGGCTTGGAGCTCTTGACCTCCTGCCAGTGAAGACCCTGGAGGGTCTTGACAACGGGCAGCGTGCTCCAGTAGACAGCGTCGACGTGCCAGACGGTGATGGGGCGGAAGATGCCGCACAGTCCGTAGCCGAAGAGACCGATGGAGATGATGGAGAGCACGACGGTGACCATACTCAGGGGCAGGTCGTAGAAGAGGTCCTGGGCTGCGAAGACTTCGACGCTGGCGCCGGCATTGGATGAGGACGTCGCGGTGAGGGCCGCAATAGCATGCTCCTTGAGACTCCAGGGTCCGTAGTTGATCTGCGACGCGAGCCAGATGTAGCGAGGTACCTCACCCTGGCCGCCCCTGGCCCTCCAGCGAGCCTCGAGCTTGTCCCCGCGAGGCAGGAAGGCAGCCCAAGCGTTGCCGGCAAAGTATGCAATCAGGACCGTGAAAGTTCCGGATAGGGTGACAGATGTGGGTTTGAACTTCAACAGAGGTTAGCGTCAATGTACCTCAAGACGTAACGATGTGTGTTACGAACCATGTAGATCTGCTGCATCACAGCTTGGAAACCAGAGAGAAGCGTGGCCAAGAGCAGGCTGCGAAACGTGATGACAGGATCAAAGTCATCTCTCAGGGGCAGCAGGTGGTGAGCGGCGTCAGCGCCAGTAACAATGATGACTTCTCCTTCGATGGCGCCCTTTTCAGGCGCGTCAGTGTCGTACGCTGGAGCCGAGGTGATCTCAAACTCGCTCTTCTCTCCAGGCTTGGGCACTGAGTCGTCATTCGAGGCAACCTTTTGCTCGTTGACAATGTCATCGTCGCCAGCCGAGAAGCGCGACACGTGTCTCTCGCTGGCGACGACATCTTGAGTAGGTGGAGATGCCATGCTGGCGTGACGTTCTGGCTGAACTTTCCACGGCGAGGATGAATCAAGTGCTGGCACAAATGCGGGAAAGTGCCAGAGACGAGTAAGGCCTCGCCGCAGGAGTCTTTCTTTATAGATCAGCGCGTCCATCGCATCAGGCCCCGCGACTTCTCACATGGCACAAGATAGGCCATATCTGCACTTCAAGGGTCCAAAGGGAGCAACTCCACTCCATGATTGTGCCATCTGGGTTGCAGCTGATACCATGCCTCCACCTTCATTATACGAGCATGAGTCGTGCGGCCTGATAACCTCAATTTGCCTCAATATGGATTCGAGTTTCCAGAGGGGCTGGCTCGTAGCACGTTCAGCAAGGCCGGCACCCCGCAGAACAAGGACTACACAGTCCGCACTCCACAGCACGGCTACCAACGTGCCGGGTAGACAGCCCATTCATTCCTTGTCGTGCCCAGTTGGCCGTACCGCGTGGCGAGCTCCCTATCTGGGAAACCTTGACCGACCTATTTGCGGCAGCTAAGATGCGACGCAGAGACCACCAAACCCTCCGCGGGACAACGATGCCGAAGGTAGTACTGGCTCGAGACGAACAGCCCCCAACTAAGCTTGAATCTAACGTTCTGACGTGGGGGAGCCCATGGGTTCCTGGATCTAGCAAGGGTCCGCGACGCCCGCCAAGACGGGCAGCTAAAGCTAAGCTTTGCCAAGAACGGGAGGATTCTCCACATCAGCCCGTCACGTCAAGCCTCTTCTTTCGGTAGCACGGCACTGGATTACGCGGCCGTATCAGGCCAGAACGATGGCGCCATCGCGACGCCGCTGGCTTTCGGCGGCGCTTTCCATTTTCCACAGCCAGCAGCTTTCAAGCCAGCGGCGTTTTCCAGAAACAACGTTCCACGACAGCATGGCGTCTTCTAGGGTGTCCCCCTTCATCCCCCGATTACCGAGGTCGTGGGACACAGCGCGGGCACCAGAGCACAAGGCGTCATTGGGGATAGCGGGTGACCGAGGTCACGTCGTCTCCTTATCTCCAGGGTCGTTGGGCGAAGGTGTGACGAGCGGTGCTGGTCCTTACTGAAATAGGAAGGCCAAGGGACGAGACGATCGTCTTCAGTGCCGGTTGCCGTGGGGAGACAGGGTCTTCGCCTAATCCGGCTCGAGAATAAGAAGCACGCGAAACCTCGCCGACTTCATCCGTCGCATCGTGAAGCACGTCGCCCGCGTTTTTTTGCTTGCGTCTTCCAAATTTTCTTCCCCTTTCTCATAGTGCTTTTCAACGTCAAACTCCCCACAACGAAAAGATTTCGCTCCGGCAAGACACTTGATTTTCTGGAGGATTCAATCGAGCGACGTGAGCGCAGAATTGATTCCATTGGCGAAAGAGGCATTGATCAATTTGGCCACGATAGGTAGGTAGTTTGGCTTGTCTCTTGTCCGCTGAGGGCTTGTTTTTCATGGCGGAAGGTCTCACCGTCGGTCAAATTGAAGGCATTGTAGCTTATTTAAGGCACGGAACTTACGTGGTCGAGTCCGTCCCAAGGCCCAAAATTGCTCGTCTCAGCTGGGTTAGGTGACTTTCCTGGTAGGCCCCAGTAGTGACCAAATGCCCACCGACCATTCAGCCAGTAGGGCGGCTTCAGGTCTCCAAAACCCGTACCTGGTTACGCTGCTGCGACCAAGACGTTCCAATCAGGAACACTGTTGGGGAGGGTTAGGGTTGTCAGTGACAGGATTTCAGGTCATGACTCTACAGCGAGACAGCATTATGAAGCGTTGTGTGCACGTGAAATACAGTGGAGCTTAGAATCACCCACCACCGTAGGAAAGAGTGTATTTGAAAGCACAGAGTGTCCGTCCTTACATACTCGTCTGTCCTGCCCTATCGTATTATGGGTGAGTCTCTGTTGAATGGCTTACTGTTAGTTCGGTATCAATCTATTGTGAGATCGCGGTGTTGTTGGTGACTTGCCGGACTGTAAGCTATACACGGTCATCTAAGTGATCTGTTTGATGGCCCGCAGACCTTTCCCTACACCTGATTACGGAGGTCCTTCTCATCAAATCAGGTCGGCACAATTAGGCGTTACAAGGGGCTGGGGCCATATAAATAGTATAGGTATCATGCGACAACCCTTTAAAACAATTCAGACTGTAACCATACTTCTCGCTTTCCAGCAGTACACCACATCTGATTGGCTGATCGAACAGGGACTGGCGCTCTTGTCGTCCTTGCTCGGGCCCGACTTAGCCCTGCTCAATCAGACAGACTAATCTGATCAAGAAACCTCGTTATAGCCGTATGCAGGCGTTCAATGGTGGTTCTGGAATGGTGCGTGCACTCTTTGAGGTAGACATCGTTTACAACGGCACCGTATTGGGCGAGAAGCGTAATTCCTGAACAAGGCTGTCAGACACGGTGTTTGCAGAGGCTACATCAGTCAAAAGCCTGTCTTGGTAGAGAGCAATGTATACATCGTATGGTACAACTTGAAGTTGCAGGTCATGTTTTCTTTAGCCAGCATGGCGTCGGTGAAGACCCTTACTCTACGTTCGCTGCGAACCGGGGACTAGTTCCCGACTCTTCGCTGCGAAAGACCGGCCGGCCCGGTAACCCACAAATTCTCGGCGAGGATGTGGGCCCGAACTCTTGGCGACCTGTCCCCACACTCCTTCAAGTACTAGCAGACTCTCGATATAAACCGGCGACGACGAAGCAGAAAAGACGTTCGATTCCATCTGCTGCCCTAGATCATCGACTTCTCCATCATCTTCCAAACTCTCTCCAGCACGTTTCTTGTTAACAAGCTTTGATCTTTCGTTACCATGAATTCTCGATTCCTCAAGTCTGCGCTGCTTTCCGCAAGGGCGGAATCAAACCAGAGGGTCACCGACGTCGTCCAGGCCGTCATTCAAGACGTCAGAAAGAATGGCGACAAGGCAGTGAGGAGCTACTCGGAGAGATTTGACAAATGGACCCCCCCTTCTTTCAAGCTCACCGAGAGACAAATTCAAGACTGCATTGCCCAAGTGCCAGCGCAGACAGTCCAGGATATCAAGGCCGCGCAGGAGAACGTGCGCAAGTTTGCCCAGGCCCAGCGCGGCAGCATTCGCGACATCGAGGTCGAAATTCAGCCTGGCGTCATTCTCGGCCACAAGAACAACCCCATCAACCGGGTCGGCGCGTAGGTACATGGTCGACGTTTTCGAAGGCCGCCGCTGACCTGTTGGACCAGATACATACCCGGGGGCCGTTACCCTCTCCTTGCGTCGGCGCACATGACTATCACCACGGCCAAGGTTGCCGGTGTGCCGCAAGTGATCGCCTGCACGCCTCCTCTCAACGGAAGCTTGCCCAACGCCACCGTTGCAGCTGCGCACTTTGCCGGCGCCGACGAGATCTTTATCCTGGGCGGGGCGCAAGCCATCGCTGCCATGGCCGTCGGCACCGAGACTATGAAGAAGGTCGATTTCATCGCGGGTCCAGGGAACGCCTTCGTAGCCGAGGCGAAGCGCCTTCTCTTTGGGGAGATCGGCATCGATCTCTTCGCCGGCCCAACCGAAACCCTCATCATAGCCGATGAGTCCGCAGACCCCTTCACGGCCGCGACGGATCTGTTATCCCAGGCCGAGCACGGTCCCGATTCTCCCGCGGTGCTCATCACCTGCTCTCAGTCCGTGGGCGAACAAACCATTCGCCATGTCAATACGCTTCTCAAAAGTCTGTCGACGGCCGAGCTGGCCTCGACCTCCTGGAGGGATTATGGCGAGGTGGTTCTTGTGGACAATATGGACGACGCATACAGGCTCGCGGACGAAAACTCCAGCGAGCATGTTCAGATTCTGACCAAGACGCCCCGCGAGGCGCTGGACAAGATGACAAACTACGGTGCCCTCTTCCTTGGCGAGAAGACGACCGTTTCCTTCGGGGACAAGGTGAGATGATCTTTGGGTTGCAAGACGCGTGAGTGGCGAATCCACATGCTGACGTTTCAACGACAGTGCATCGGCACGAACCATGTATTGCCCACACGCAAGGCGGGCAACTACACTGGCGGTCTCTGGGTGGGCAAGTTCCTGAAGACGCAGACGTATCAGGAGATCCTCGATGAAAAGGCCAGTGGTGAGATGGGCAGGCTATGTGCCAGATGCTCGCGCGCCGAGAACTTTGAGGGCCACGCTCGATCCGGAGATCTGAGGGCGCATAAATACCTCGGGGACGACCACGAATGGGTGAAGGAGGCAAAGGGAGATGGCGTACAGATGAGCATGCCGTAGATGGTTTCTTTGAAACCGTTCCGAGGAAACATTTTTTGAGACATGACAAAAATAAATTTCACAGCACCACCGAGGATCGTGTTGTTACTGGCAAAGGCGTCGGTCATGACTTTTGAAAAGTATTGGTGATGCGTGTTCGATGCGACGGCTGTGCCGCACCAGGACGGCGTCCATCCCCGCATACTTCGCTACGTCAGCATGATCGTGTGCCCCATGTCCTCCATCACGTCCCTCCAGTCAACGCCCAAGGCCGTACGATAGACCATTTTCATCATCATCATAGAGCT